ATAAAATAACTCTAGACTCTATATAAAAGAAATAATTGAAAGAAAATTAAAACACACGTACACACACAATGAAATTAAGAATTTACACTACTCCGTATCTGAATTAGCACTCAGGTAGGACAAGGATGGTGAATTAAGAAAAGATTCGATTTGCCTCAAGATGATCATTAGCTCCTCAAAGGTAAGTGTAGAATCTCAGATTACTCTTTTCAGATGCACTATTGTTGTGCGAACATCAGCTTCAATAAATACTCCTCCGAAGTTCGGTTCGTGCGGAGGATGGTACCTCCATGCTGTTTCCTCGTCTGCTAGAAGATGCAGAAGTTCGTCAGGTAATTTAGATTTAGCTCGGTAAGACGTTTCTCCTCGTTCTCTAGACGCGCTGTCAGCCGGGTTCTGATGTATACCCACGTGTCTCCACTGCTCTCGTTCCAGCTTGGTAAGTATCTCAGATGTTCTATTGCGTAACCATCTCGGTATGAAGATCTTCTCCAATTTTAGTAAGTCATCTATGAATTGTTGCCACTCGTGTAATAGTTGCGGGGTGATCTTTCCATCCCAGGATAGTTTTAATCTCCACAGGTTTTGTTTAAAACTCCTCGCTCTGACGCCATTTGATACTGTGTAGCTCATTGGGTTGTAAGGACGCGCCTTTTCAGGCAGCTTTCTTTTAGTGACATCTTCTCGATTCTCCTCGTTGTTAGGTAGTTGTAAGTGACGCTCAAATTCATAGTTTGTTTTGTTCCAGATGACTCTTAATACCTTAGTGTTATCATTATACTTGAAATATAATAACTGATTATCTATTTGATTATCTTTACAGATGTGTTCCAGTAATTCTTTGCTGTTGCTGCTCCATTTTCGAAGTTCAAAACCACCTGCTCTCATTAAAGTATTCATTTGATGATAGTTGTCTATAGTTTGCTCTGTGGTTTTACATCCGGTAAGTAAATGATTCATATAATAATCTTGCAGTGTAATTTGCGCTGTTAGGGGATAACCTGGTTGCTCATCTTTTGATAGTTGTTGCAGACACTTCACAGCTACGTAAGGTTCACAAGATGTTCCAAAGGTAAGTCTCAGTAGTTGGTAATGTTGAACATGTCCTTCTAGATTTGATCTCCACAATATCCTTTGGAAATCGGTGTCTTGCTTGTTGACAACTTGACGATACATATTAAATAACTCTGCAACTGTACAAACTCTATGATATCTCCCTCTCACTAGAATATTACGTAGATCACTCTGTAATGTAGGTCCGACGAGCATATTGTTATTTAAAGACACGTCGTTCTCTCCTTTGCTCGATGCGTCGAAAATCACTCTTCCTCGTGTAGTTTGTTTTTGCTCTTTAATCACTGCATGGTGTGGCAGATATACGTCGTAAGCATCTCGTAAGTCTCTCTCCTCAGTTGTTTTTTCGTAAATTTCTTTGTATTGCATTTTCTCTCTCGTCTTTCTCCTTCTGAAACTCTCAGGTTCTCCTTCTGTCTCCCAAAATTGTTTTAAAAGCTCATCTTCCTTTACTTGTATATGCATGCTGATAATATTGCGATTTTCTTGTACTAACTCATTTTTGATTTTTCCAGATAATATCCAGCCCAATTGCGTATTTTGTGCAACTGGTCCAGATGACTTCGAATGTTTCAGAAGACCATCTAGTAGAATTTCTCCGTAGACTTCAGCACCCAGAATAATATCAATCCGTCCAGGTGTACTGTAGGTAGGGTCAGCTAAAGGTAAGTTGGTGATCTCTGGCCAATCATGTATAGGTGAGTCTCTGGATGGTATAAACGAAGTTAATCTTTTCAACACGAATGCATTGACTTGGATGGAAAACTCAGGATTGTGCAAAGATAAGATCTCAAAAGAAGCCATACTCTTTGTTTGTGTTTGACCTTCTCCGACTCCTGATATAAGACTGTTCACTGAAACTCGCTTTAACTTCAGGACTTGTGCTGTGGCTTCTGTTATGAATGATGCTTCAGATCCTTGGTCAATCAAAGCTCGAACGATTTGTGAATGACCCGTAGGTGATTTGATTTTGACCATAGCTGTGGCCAGTAATACTCTACTCAGTTGACTCTCATTGGTAAAATGTGCTACAATTTTTCTCTCAGGTTGTTGGCTTCGCTCTTGAACTTCAGGGGATGTATTCTCATGATTTGAATATACCTCTGCAGTTGATCTCTCTTCGCGGTTAGATGTTCTCTCGTAATGCAGTAGTGTATGATGTCGTCGAGCACAACGACGACAGCTCGTAGTTGAATAGCAACTCCTCACGCTATGAAAAGGTGATAAGCAATTGAAGCACAAATGATTTGATTGCACGTACTCAGTTCTCTTCTCTGGTGTTTGTGCTGCAAATTGCTTACACTGATATAATAAGTGTTGTCCTGAACACATTACACAGGTGTACTCTCTCTTCTCCTCTTCTACTGATGAATGAAATGATCTCTGTTTTGTAGTTTGTCTCGTAGTGTTGTTGTATTGTGTTGTGTTAGCTGCTCTACAGTTGTAATGATTTGATGACTCCAACATCTCTAGTGTTCTAAATCTCGTCTCGATAAATCTCTTCAGCTCCTCCCAGGTAGGTAAAGAATCTGCTTCACCGTCTGAATGTACTCGGCTCACCTCTAACTCCCATAGCTTTCTTGTCTCTGCATCTACTCTTGTGACTACCAAATAAATTATGATGGCGTCCCATGCACTCGTATCTATTTCCAAATTTTGTAATGATTTTAAACAGGATGATGTTGTATCTAAAAGTTGTTTTAAAGCAGCGGGCGACTCACTCGTTACATTCTTTTGAGAAAATAAACGTTTCATAACTTCATTAGTATTAAAGCGCTTATTGTTGTATCGTCGAACCAGCTGGCTCCACGCCTCGTTATAATTTACATCTGTTGTTGATAGATTTTTAAGTAGTATTTCAGCTTCTCCAGATAAGCAGCTCTTCAGATAATGTAGTTTTTGAGCAGCGGTTAGTGTAGCATTTGTATGAATTAATGACACAAACATATCATAGAAAGTTTGCCAATTTTCGTATCCGCAAGAAAATTTTGGCAAATGAATTGTTGGTAATCTCACGTCACTAGATGTCGCCACAGTACTGGTTTGGTTATTAGATGCGCTCACACACGAAGTCGGCTGGTATAACTGTAGATCATCTTTTAATTTGATTTTGTAGGTCTCGTAAATATCCTCAAACTCTGAATACATATCTTCGGCAAAATAGGTAAGTTTCGATTTCTCAGATTTATCTACAGAGGCAACAACCTCGTTATGAATACTCAAGAATGACTCCCACAGTTTATTTAACGCCTCTATTTTCGTTTCAATATAATTCACAGTAAGCCGATCTTTAGGCGATTTTTTGTAATTAATCTGCGCTTTACTAACCCGCTCAAATAACTCCTCTTGACGTCGCAGACACACTTTTAATGCTTCAGACATTTTTAAATGTTCAATATTCTCGTAACACAATCACAATATTAATATATTCAATTACTGTTCTCCCGGGTTTCGGCACCAAACTTTTGTTCAAAATAAAAGCATCATACTCTCCACTTAATGTTTATTATAGAATTATGATGATAACTTAACAAAACATATATACAACAAACTACGATTTAACAAATATAATTAGTAAGGACAACACACTATTCTCTGTTCATTGTTACTCACTCGCTTTTTACACACTGAAAAAATAACAAAACACACTCGATAAAATAGAGAAATAAAATATCACGGCGCCACTATGTGCCAGTAACTTTGTACCTTTTTAGTGGCGCCCTCTGACGCAATATAATCAAATTACGCTTAGACAAGTAAGATTAATCAGAAATGATGTGAAATATTTTAAACGACGTAGAATAAAATACTAACAAATTCTACACATAGTTATTTTTTGTTATTGTTT